TACATCATAATTAGTTCCCATTCAAGTATCAGAGGAGAGAATGGATATCAGCACAGGGAATTCTCTTTCCGTGTGGTATCAGTCTGATCATTAAGTAAATGCAAAATGTCCTCTCTGATAATTTGAACAATTACTTAGAAGAAAACCATTCGTAGAATAAATTGATCTCAAGTTTTTCAGTGCCTGAGTCTAGATCAGTAGCTAATAGCAAGTCTGTGGAATTGCCTTATCAATAGTGTATATAGGTAGTCCTTGACTTACGACCCCAGTTGGAACCAGAATTTCTGTTGCTCAGCAAGGCAGTTGTTAAGTGAATCATGTCCAATTTTGCAGACTCATTTTTGCCATGATTGTTAAGTCAATCACTACAGTTCTTGAGGGAATCATGTGATTGTTAAGCTTCTCCATTGACTTTGCTCGTCAGAAACTGGCTGGAAAGGTTGCAAATGATGATCATATAACCCCAGAACAATGCAAACTGTCAAACATACATGACAATGGGGATACTGCAATAAGTGTGAGGCCTGGTTGTAAGCAGTGTAAGCACTGTAACTTGAACGGTTGCTAAATGAATGGTTGTAAGTGGAGGATTACCTATAAAGTCTCCTCTTCCAAAGCTGGACAGACATCCCCATTTTAAAAAGAATCTATGCAAGTATACTATCCACTCAACAAACAGAAATAGATATTTTCAAATGCAATTCAGCTATACCAGTCATAGCTATATAGGATACTAGTAGATGACCTGGTATTGCCTGGGTATTTATTTTTCCTAATCCTGTATTAGACAGGAAAAGGAATGAATGATATTGATAGTGTTGCACCCCCCCCCGGTGTTCCCCCTGGCCACCACGCATGCACGCACACACCCTGCGCAGCTTGATTGTGTGTGTGTCCTGGCACGCAGGTGGCACACAGACCCCAGCTCAGCTCCACAATGCATGTGTGCGTGCCTCATGACCGCCAATGTTTTGGGTCTTTGCTGCACATGCGCGGAAGGTGGGTGGCAGCGCAAGGGGGCTGTGCTCCTCCCCGCACCCCATTTTGGGCCTAGTAAGCCTTCCTGCAGCCTCCTAGGAGCAAAAATGGGCTGCAGGGGGTTCACACCACACTCCCCTGCCCCTGTGCAGCAGAGACCAAAAAATCATCTGGCTAGCAGGAGTGCAGTGCATCTGAACTGGGGCTTGCATGCCATCTGCGTACCGGGGCACCCCTCCCCCCAGGGGTGTTAGGGGTGTCTTACCGCCACAGTATTTTTCTCCACAGCATAACTCATCTGCGTACCAGGTTTGGTTGAAATTTCTCGAGGCGTTCCAGAGTTATGCTAGAACATACACACATGCATGTTTTTGTATAGATAGATTTTGTCAATCCTTAAAGAAGGAGAAAAGGGAATGGTACCTACAAGATAGTTCTTTCTGGTTATGCCCATTGAACCAGCTTAATAGAAAACACACCTGAGAGATGGCAATAGCAAGCATTTTGTGCCCAGGATATATAGCAATTGTTTAAAACTCAGTCCTTCTCTGGATGACCTTATTTTGAAGAACCTGCCTTATCAGTAAGAGAAGGTGCAATTCTATTTTATATTCCCTTTTAATAGGGCCATTCTGTGCCTCTAATATGTGGGTGACCTCATGGTTCGCTTTTATATTTGGTTTTGACAGATGCATCCTGCTACTTTAGTGATTCCTCGTCAATTCACAGGCTTAAGAGAAATTACTGGCAGAAGCATGAATGTCATTGCTCACATTTCGAGAAAGGGTTCTATGTGAATACATCAGGAAGTGCAGTAATAGCCCACACTCTCATAGCATCCTCCATTTCAACAAGTTTCAGATGGACAAAGCTCCACCAGCTGAAGGTACAAAGGGCATTTAATTTGATCCTCCTCCTCCATCTCTTTCCAAAATGCAAAAGGGAAAAAGAGATAGATAATTGATCTACAAGACACCTTAAGCAAAGAACTTCCTTCCTGTCTCCCTGTAGGCTCATTTCCCCAATTTTTCCATAAATATTTTTAAATGCTTCTGTCTGATTGGCTGCATACCAATACCTTGTACAGTGTAAGCAAAAACAGTTGATAGTCATAAAATAGACACCTAATTCTCTAACCCAATTAGATGTTGATGAAAATAACAGTTTACAAATATCAGGCATTATACCCATGGGATTATATTTTCAAAAAAAAATGTTAACATAGCTATGTGCTATACTTTTCTACCTTGTACTGTGTGACAATATGAAACAGCTTAAGGAACTAATGAGAAATCAATATTTGCTGGTTTTGTAGAAAAAAGAAGGTGGAGGAATGACAGCCGAATAATTCATCTTCTTCTTCCATCACAACTTTGGCAAATAGAAAAAGGAAGCCATTTATGCATGAATTTGGATAATGGGGTGGGGGGACGGTTGGCTAAGGCCATACAGGATAAGGCAGTAAGGTGAAAGAGACAAAAGCATATATGCTAATACCCCGTTTCCCTGAAAATAAGACCTCACTGGATAATAAGCCCAATTGGGCTTTTGAGTGCATGCTCTAAACTAAGCCCGCCCCTGAAAATAAGCCCTCCCCTAAAATATTTAAATGCAGGCACAGCCAGTCTCCGCCATTCCCTGGAGGGGAGGGGGAAAACATGCCCCATGCTCCCCTCATGCACCTGCCATCCACACAGAACGGCCTCGCAGAGGCCGCTCCTGCAAACCCTAAAGACCATGCCCCTTCTCTTAGTGGTGGCCACAAAAAAAGTGGCAAGCCCAGTGACACCAGGGCTGGCAAGAGTGTGCCAGAAACAGAGACAGAACTTCCGGCCTTCTCTGGATCAGCTGATCTGCGGGCCAAGGTTAAGAGGCCTCCTGCACCTCAAAAATAATAAGACCTCCACAAAAATAAGGCCAAGTGGTTATATTGGGGGTCAAAAGAAAATAANTTTGCTTCCGTTCTGGAGCTATCCCAACTTTCAGCAGCTTCAATGGCTGCTTCTCTGTGGCTGGAAAAAAGGGCTTCTCTTGGATCTACCAGGGACTTTGCGGTGTCCCTGGAATCGGCAGGATGTGCCCTTCTCTATCACCATCCCTACGGGACGGTTTAGGTCCAAAAGGACCGTCCAGCGGCACAGATATCAATGGTGATCCCGGAGCTCCAAGATCGCACATCATATATTCGCAAAGTCAGCCCTGCCCTCGCAAAGAATATTTTTACAACATTAATATTAAGGGAACATACACATTACAGAATGGAAAGTTATACTTTTTTTTAAAGATTTTAAAGGGAAGGTTTTAAATTGGCCAATCTCATGTTGGTTTAAACCAGAACAAATGGGGATATGATACTCAGAATAATCCAGCTTTTCTTGGGCAGTTCAATATATTTGAGCTTCCAAATCCTTTATTAAGGGCACTGAAGAATATTTCTGCTTTTTCTGGCAGTATATCATTTGCTTGTCTTATATTCCAATCCATACTCTTTTCTTGGTGAGAGTTCTAAGATCACGGCAGACTGAATGGTCATCCCATGAACAAACCATATTATATTTTATTCGGCAATTCAGAGGAGGAAAGAAACATCTATATTGACTTGGATCCTAAAATTAACTAAAATTAGTTATGTGAAGTAAACTTCATATATTTATAAACCTAGTAATTGGTTGCCAGAAATCCTTGGAATACATACCACTTGATCCATGGGATCATTCGAATAGTAGCTTTCTGAATGGGTACAACGAACCCACACTGGCTTCAACAGATCCTCATCTTCTTCCTCGTTCTTTTCACCTGTCGCCTCTTCTGGCTCTTTGTCCTTGATGGAGGTGTAGCTTTTCTCTCGATTGGCATTTTCTGACCACCGGTCCCTGTCTTCTTCCCAACGGGGTCTCTTTCGATCCTGGCTGGGAGATCGACTGTGCAAGAAGGGAAGGAAGTTTTTAAAAAGTCCACATTTAATAGCAAAACTAACTCCACCTCACATGTAAATGCATTAGTGCCTCATAAAAAAGATAGCCATAAGAGCCAAGGTGGCACAGTGGTTAGAGTGCAGCACTGCAGGCCACTTCAGCTGACTGTTATCTGCAGTTCAGC